AGAGTTAGGAAAGTAGGTGAGGAGGCAACAAAGCTGTCACCCTTATGGTGGTAGACCTGATACTGTGGGCCCCCAAGCTCTGTCCCATTCACGTCAAGACTGGCACCCAAGCTTGTGGAATCCCACTCCCCCAGGGACCCTAGCCAAAGGCGACCTCTCATGATCAGAGCCACAGATCTCTGCCAGGGGCCGCGCCTCACTACACTGAGCACCAGATTCCCCATGCTGGAATTGTTGTCCAATACAGTCAACACTTCTTTGCCTTATGGATGCTCATGGCCTTCATATTCTAGGCTGGGTTTGGAGTTTCCTTATCATTGTCAGGCCTGGTCCACCCCCTTCTACACAACGTTTGCCGGCTGCCCTCACTACTCCTCTCCACTTAGCCAAATGGGATTTCCAGGGGCACTGTCTAGAGCAGATGTCCCTCCTCTACCCCTCGCCCCCGGAAATGCAGACACACCCCCACACCAGATCTTCCCCCTGCTTCTGCCCTTTTGCACAGCCGATCCTGCACACCAGTGGTCTGCTTTGGATTTCAGGCTTCCTTCCAACCTCGCTGTGGTAACTGCCTCCTACACCTGAATAAAGAGGTCTCCTCACTCACTTTGGCCAAGGGTGGATGAACACACATTTGAACACACTCTCTAGAGTCTGGTCTTAACACACCGAGCCTTGTAAATTTCACCAGGTGCAGCCTGTCTTCCTGCTTTCAGGGACCCCTTTCCTGCCCGTCCCACTCAAGCTCATCAATGAGTGGCCGGAGTGCCCAGGTGCCTGCCTCCCCCTTTGACAGTCTTTAGAGGTTCTTTTAGGTCCAAGCTAGTCTTTTCTCCCTGTTCTATGAGGCAGATAGAAAGGTGATATTGCACACAAATACACTCACATGCACACACACACAAAACACCACACACAGTATCAAGATACTGTGTTGATATGAATCAACTAAGCCAGGTCTGTTGGTTTTTTTTTTTCCTAGCTAAAACAAACTATTGGTGGATCCCAGCACCTCATTCCAACCCCATCAGAAAAAAAAAAAAAAAAAAAAAAAAAAAAAATCATGGGTGAGGTAAGGAAGTGTAGGCAAAAATATTCACCCAGTGGTCTGAGACAGTGGTCAGTTGGGACACCGCTTTCCTCTTGGCCCAATTGGAAAGGCGTGGAACGCTTTGACTCCAGTGTGTCTGGTCTCCATTGGGTTGCACTTTAAAATCATTTAAACTCATAGTGGATGGGTTTGTACGCAGTAAGGGAATTTCAGGAATGATGTTGATACTTTTTGTTTTTTGAGACAGGTTTTCTCTCTAGCCCTGGCTGTCCTGGAGTTCACTCTGTAGAACAGGCTGGCCTCAAACTCAAAGAGATCCACCTCCTTCTGACTCCCAAGTGCTGGAATTAAAGGTGTGCGTCATCATGCCTGGCTTCGATACTAATTTCTTTTCTGCAAGGTCTTACACTATCTTCCAGTCCCATTTGCTTGCTGCTAATCATGCCTGCCATTCTGTTTCTTACTAGTCATCCATTTCATTGTTTCTACTTTTTTATTTTTGCAAATATATTGTTGTGCATATATTTTAAATGTGTGCAATGAGAACTGTATTTTATACCAAGCTCTCAAGACTGATCCAGATAGCTTCTGCCCCTTCTAACTATTGCCTTCCTCTCCATGCTTTACCCTTCCCACCTCCTTACCTCATCAACACAGCAAAATCCTCAACCATATGCCCTATGCAGTGCCTCTCAAACACCTGTCATCTTGGAGTCTTGAAAATGCAGGCCTTAGCTCAGCAGGTCTAAGAGGGAGCTGGAAAATCTGTGGGTTTGTTTTTTCTTTTTAGACACAGCCTCATGTAATTCAGTCTGGACTCAAACTAGATATGTAACTGAGAATAGACTTGAACTCTTGATCCTCCTAAGTTCCCCTCCCCACATGACAGGCTTACAGGCAAGAGCTACCATGTCAAGTGTATGTGGTGTTAGGGATGAAACCCAAGGCTGCATGCTGGGCAAACACTACCAAATGAACTACATCCCTGAGAGTCTGCATTTTTTAATTTATTTTTTATGTGTATGTATTAGTGTTTGCATGTACACCCCACGTGAATGCCTGGCACCCTTAGCAGTGAGGGGGGTCATCATATTCCCTGGAATTAAAGTTAACAATGGTTGTGAGCTGACACATGGGTTCTGGGGACTGAAGCAGGATCCTCTTGTAAGAACAAGAGCTCTCAAGAACCTCTGTGAGAATTTGAGTTTCTGGCTGTAGAATAGAAGTACCTCTAACTTGATAAGGATTGCCCATCTGCATTTCTGTTCCACCGCTGTATTACCCTACTCCACACAAGAGGTCAAGAGTGTGGAAGGTATCTTTTGATTTGAGGGGAAAGGAAAGGCCTTTCTTGTTCTCACCTGCATTGTGTCCCCTGCCATCCCTCTACTTATGGTCTTGATTAATACCTCCTCTCTCTTTCACTAGAATGGCCCCAGGTCTCTGGAGTGATGCCATCCCTGGCAGTGATGCTTGGCCAAATCAGTAAGAGATCCAGGCTAGGCACCTTTGTCTCTATTCCCACCACAGGCCATAGATGTCTCAGCCCTCAAGACATCTAGATTCAATTTGACTTAAGACATCACTAGGCCTGGGCTTCACCTCCTAAGAAGCCATAGGATCCTCAGTTGGGTTGTATTTCATTCAGTCTATGTGATTTTCCCTTTAGTAGCCTGTATTTGAGTGGTCTGGGACTCAAATACCCTGGTCTTGGCACTGGTGAGTGGCTGGCTATCCTGATCCTGACAAAGTAGTCACAGTATATATATATATGTGTGTGTATACTATGTATACAGGTATGTATGCTTATATGTATGTATGCATATATGTATGTATGATGTGACATTAGGGGCTAGTTCAGGAACTTCACCTTGCAAGCTAGATGCCCCAAGGCAAGTGTCTATCTCTTTGTTTTATCTATGCAGAAAATGAAGTTCAGAAAGACTTCTTAGGGCTGGGAGTGTAGCTCAGATAGTAGAATGCTTAAGATGAAGAAAGCCTTGAGTTTTATCACCAGCACAAAATAAACTGTATCAGCCCATCCCTGGAATCCTGGTCATTGGGAGGTAGGGGAAAGAGGATCAGAAGTTCAAGGTCATCCTCAGCTCCATAGTGAGTTTGAGGGCAGTCTGAACTACATGAGGAGTGTGCATGTTTGTGTCTATGTGTGTGAGAAAGACAGATTATCCATGAGTTTGAAAAGTGAACTACATGAGGAGTGTTTCTGTGTGTCTGTGTGTATGAGAGAGACAGACACAGACAGACAGGTAAGACAGATCATCCATGGAGCAAGAATGAGACAGTATGGTAATCACAAAGCTACGGTGTCCCCATGTTGTTATATGGCACATTACAGGGGGACTAGAATGAAACAAGAAGGGCTAGTTTTGGGTTTTAGGCATTGAAGCTAAAGATATCTAACCAGCAACACATACTTCTAAAACTATGGCAGGTTTTGGCCAAAATGAACCATGATTTAAGGTGCATGAGTGTTTAGATGGCAGAAGAGTTTTTCATCCTAGAGTTTCAGAAGTTTTTAATGTTAGATATAAAACAGATGAAGATCTGGGAAGCAGCAGGGATTGGGTAGATGAAAGTGTCAATCTGAGCCCTGGCTGTGGACAAATTGCCTAACATGTCTGTCACTTTACTTGGTAACTGATTCTCAAAGTTTTGTTTGGAAGGCTCAGGAGATAGGTAAATGGTCAAACTCTGGGTGAACCAAAACACTCTGGGATGTAAGCAACTTGCTTGATCAGTTTTAGAAATTCCCTGAGCCATTATTTCCCTACTCACACAGCTTTATAAGCATTTCCTGGCACCAGGCTCCAGCTTCAAGCATTGCACTAATATAGTTCAATATCTGCCTAGTCTGAGATTGTATGATATACAGCTTTTTACATTTCATTACACCATCCATTCTGTATTAACCATTTTAGGGCTGGGATTCTATACATGACAGAGAATTTCTCTGAAGCCTAGAGAAACTTCCTCCATCATCTAGCTTCTAGATCAAAAGGCCTTTGAAGCTTATATAATGCTCTTGGAGCCCAAAACATTTTAACTGCTCTTTGGCATTACAAAGTGCTTATCATAAAACCAGGCATGGGCACAAGTTTTAATCTCAGTACTTTGGAAGCAGATAGAGGCAATAGGATCAGAAATCCAGTCATCCTCAGCTAAATAGTGAAGCCATTCTGGGCTTCATGAGACTCTGTTTCAAAACAAAACAAAGTATTTTGCAAATAGATACTGATTTTGGATCATAACAACCCATGAAAAAGTTGGGACCAACTTAACACTGAGGTTCAAAAATAATGAATTGGCCAAGGTGTGGGTGGCTGAAGCAGACCTGGGGGTGCTTAAAAAAGAGTATGTAGGGTGGACCGTATGCTTCTGCGCAAAGCCTCGGGTTCAGCCTACACACGCCTGCACAAGTGCATACACACACACACTGAAAATCACTACCATGATTGTCCTATCTCCCACTTCTAGGGGGTGAGTGAGATGAGGTTCCCAGCTATGTTTCTGTCAATAAGGCCATTCCAGAGTGTGTGCTCCTCCTGGAAGTAGAAAGAGAGGGTAGGGTCCATGACAAATCCAGACAGAGTGACAAGTCCAGGGTTATGTAGGTGGAAACTCTCAGAAAGCTTGGAGCAGGAAGGGCTGAGGTGGTGTGACAAAAAGATGCTTCCAGGAAGGCCAAGTGACGTTACGACATCCGTATAGGTGTTCTCGGTGGTTTGGCCATGCTCTTGTCCCTGGTTAAACCATCTGTCCTGTCCCTAACACCAATGTGGGTTTAAGGTAGATGCCAGCAGCCAGGCCCCCAACTTGTGCTTTAGATTGGGGGTCTGAGGTGTCTTGAGGTTCCACTGCCCTCCCTTCCCCACAGAGTTCAGGCCCTAGGCCAGGGCTCAACAGACACAGGCAGTACGATGGGGTTGTCCTTCTATTGGTCGAAGTCCTGAGCATAGCCTGGGTGAGTCATGGAGGTAAGGAGACCCACAAGGCTCAGCAATGTGGAGAAGAGCAGCAGGAAGGAGGCAGCGAAGAGCAGAGCAGGCAGGGCACTGAGCACCAGCAGCAGGAAAGCTGGCAGCAGGTGGCTCCACACCACAGCCACCACAGGCCACAGGGAGCTCAGCAGGTAGGAGCCAGTCGTGAAGAGTGCATGACATAGCATCAGTGCCAGCATCAAGTAGAGTGTCCCCTCCAGACCCCACAGCATACGCTGTAGTGGTTGCCGCCAGCCTGATGTATTCCACCACTGGGCCCAGCTCCGAGGCATGTGGCATGCCCACCAGCGCACCCAGTCCTGACGGGTGACCCAGGCTGACCAGGGCACTGCCCGCTGGGGACCCTCGCCAGCCCCGATGATATCCGTCTCCACTCGTGGCTGCTGCATCACGACTGGTGCACCTGTGGACAGGGCCAGGCCAGCTGCAGGAGCAGCCCTGGAGATGCCCAGGACCTCTGGATAGGTGGGGGTGTGGGGTTCAGGAGGATACCAGCATGGGCAGGATTGGGCTTTGAACCCGGGCCTAGAACTTACCTTTGGGCAGAGCCACCTAAGTCATGATGCTTCCTGTTGCGCCCAGGCTGGCCTGGCAGCCAGGTCGCAGTGTCACTCTTCCTCACCCCACCATCCCCAGAGGAGTCCATTATGACCCGGGCTGGGGTGGGGCCCAGCCAAGAGGGGAGCTACTGCATAGTATGAGACTTGCTTGAGTCCCTTACTTATGGATCCTCCAGGCCAACAGGAGAGCTCAGTAAGCCTCACGGATACCATTCTCCTTGCTTGTAGGAAGCTTTCCCTACAACTGTCCCTCCTTGATGGCTGCCTCCTACTGCAGGGCTGGAGTTGATTGCTATATCCACCCTTTTCTCTGACTTCTCTTATTGCCCTGAGCCTCAGACCCAGGTCTCAAATGTCCATATTATGGAACCAGAAGCCCCTGAGGTTCAACCTGAATACAATGGAGTATTTACCCTCATGTAGCTCGGGATGAAGGAGTTGAAATGTGAGGAAGCAGAATGGCTGATGTATTTTTTAGAAGGCATTCAGTTTTAGGAGGCCTCTCAGGCCGGAGGATGGAGACAGAAAGCTATGCCCAGCAGGGTTAAAGGTATACCAGAGCCTCCCAAGAACAGGCCCAGGCCCAGAAACAGCAGGAACAGTGCATCCTGGAGGCTGACCAGTCCCGAGACTAGCCCTGCTGGGAAGAGGGGAGCTGCCTGCTGTCCTGGACCTTCACCAGCCCCCTGGCTCTGACCCATTGGGGGAAGTCTGTGTCGTGGCAGGGTGGGACCAGTGGGCCTGTGGAGAGAGAAGATGGCAGCTCAAGGCAATTGCTCATTTGTCCCTGTGTTTATGACACCCACCTGATAAGCCACTGCCACTTACCCATGGAGCAGGTCAAAAGCAAGGAAGCTGACCAGCAGCAGGAGCAGCAGGGCTAGGCCAGCTGTCGAGAAGACTGTTCGGATTGTCACTCCTAGTGCCCCTAGCCCTAGGATACTGTCCAGGAGCTGGGCCTGGCTGAAGTCCCAGCAGACACACATGGCTCACTGACCTAGTCAACCCCTCTCCAGTCTCCAGGTGCCTGGGAGGGAGTTGGGTGGGTTTCTAAGGGATTTGGGCATGGGCAAGCAGAGCTGGGTCTTAAAGGTATTAGGAAGAAGAAGTGCTAGGAGGTTAGGAGTCAGGGAAGGGAGGAGCACCTTGGCATTCACTCAAGGGTGAGCTCAGAGAGCCAGGCACTAGGCGCTTTGGGCGATCTCCTCCCCCCAACTCCCACCCGACATCTTCAACTCTCCTCACCTCCTTCCACTTGGGTTGACCATTCTAGATTTAGACACCTGGGGCATTGTGACCTATTGCCAGGTAGGGCCTTGAGTTAAGGACAGGACAACAGTTTGTCTTGCCTCGGAAGCACTGGTAGCCTAGGTGGGGCACAACTAGCAAATCAATGCTTTCTTAGAACTAAGACTTATCCTTTGCCTTGGCCAATAATGCTCTGTACTGGGGACTTACCATGGGTTCCAGTTGTCAGGAAAGCATGCTGACAGCATGACTGCTTGGGCTTCTGCCCAGTGGAGGACAGGCTGCTTCTTCCAGAATGTTTTTCAGGCTATGTGTCTGAGATGTCGTTCAGTCATTCAATTTTGTGTATCCAGTTCTCTTCCCTGAGAGTGGGGTGAGGCCTGTGGGGCTTTGATGGTAGTGGGAAAATCAGGCCTGCAACTCTGGGATGCAGAATAGGCTTTTCCAGGATGCAACGTAGGCCATTGGGTGGGGGTGGGGGTAGGGGGATGCTATATGGCTGTTTTAAGCACTGCAGCTTTGAGAGGTGTTAGGGTTTCAGAAGTAGAACAGAGCTGCACATGGCGGCATATGCCTTAATTTCAGTGCTCAGAAGGCTGAGGCAGAAAGATTGAGCTTAATGCCAGACTGGACTATATAGTGAGATGCTGGAGAAAGAAAGAGAGGAAGAAGGAAGGAAGGGAGGGAGGGAGGGAGAGAGGGAGGAAGGAAGGAAGGAAGGAAGGAAGGAAGGAAGGAAGGAAGGAAGGAAGGAAGGGGAGGGAGGGAGGTTGTGAAATAAGAGACCTACAAAATTATGTTTCAAAAAATCTTTTGAAACAAGGTCTCTTCATGTGTTTCAGGCTAACCTTGAAATCAGAGAGCAGGCTGCTCTCTAACTCTTGGTTATTCTCTGCCTAATCCTGAGTGCTAGGATTGCAGGCAGGCACTACTATGCCTCACATAAAATCCAAATGGGAAGTTAAAGCTGTCATCTAAGAATGAAATTAAGGAATAAACATGGAATAACTAGATTGATCATCATTACTGGTTATAATTGCTCAATATGGATAAACTTACTCCCACTGAAACTGTTGGGGGTAGCTACAGAGCTACTAAGTACATGGTCAATCAGGGGTCATCAAGAGGTGACATAAATTTAAATATTACTCATTTGAAGAAAAACTGAAGGGTTTGGGATGGGGGAAACACAGATAATATAGCTCCCAGGAAAAGGAGAGATTGAGTGAAAATGGAAGAGCATTTAGCTGCCTCCCAGGAACTCCCACATACAAAGGCCAGGTCTCGTGGCCTTGACATGTTTGGTGTTGATGGACTTGACAGACCATAGAGCCAGTGTCATTTGCCTTTAACATCACTCACCAATTGCCCTTCTGCTGGCTTTTGTTTTGCCTGGGAACTGTGTTTCTGATATAGATTTGTCTATAAGGAGATAGGATAAAGCAGAGGATCCTGGTTTTTATTTTGTTTTGTCTAAGTCTCAATTGTCTTTGTAAATGAGAAAATTAGCATTTAGGTTTAAAATTGCCAGTTCCACTAATCTGCTCATTTCTGGTGCAGCCACAAGATTGTCTCCTGAGACTATGGAGTCGAGAGTCATGTCTTGACAGTTCCACCGAGTGGAAGTAGCCATATGTACAAGGGGTTGGGAGCAGGGTATGTGACTAATACTCTTTACACTTTGGTGAGCAGGGTAGTGTAATTTTTAGGGGCGATCTACTTTGAGCTTTCTCAGTTTACTTTTCATTCAACAGTCATTTGTTAAGTGGTCCCTGTGTGCCAGATCTTGAGCCTAATGTTGGGTTCTAATTCCTAAGGCAGACCATAGGCTTTTAGTCAGATGTTTTACTGAGAGCTTGGGGTTGTTCTCAGATGGAAAAAAAAAAATTAGGAGATGAGGAAGAACAGGGAAGAGGAAAGAGCTAGTCAGCATGTGGTCTTGTCTGGAGTTTAGCTTCAGCTTGGCCTAGTGGACAGCTCTGAGAACAGTGCATTGTGCTAGAGAGTTGAGCCCATCAGATCAGTCATTGGTGACACCTCTTCCATGGATGAAAGAAAAGAGGGAGGTAAGAGTAGGGGAGCTTTAACTTTCAGCATGGAAAGCAACTCCTATCTGCTGAGGTCTTTAGTCTGTAGAAAGCAAATAGCTACGATTTATGAACATCAAGCAAGAGTAGGGGTGGGCACCCTGTTGATAAAGGGGACCTCAGTGGGGAATCAACAGCATGGCAGTCCAGAACAGATGCTGGCTTAGCTCTTTCCTCCACCCTCTTCTTAAAAATCTGTCCTGGCCTCTTGCTTTTGCAGCCCCAAATACCCAGTGGCCAGGGCCAGAGCCATTATCCTAGTAAGAGAGGAGTGTAAGAAGATGCCAACGGTCCAGGGACTGAGAGGAGCATAAAGAAGCTATGAAGAGTTTGGAAGGAAGGGTAGGGGCTGAGTGTGAGACGGCTGTTGGATACTCCGGTCTCCCTCCCTTTTGCAGTTCTCTGGGAAACTCGGTTGAGTGTGGGGTTTCTGGTGGTAGCCCAGAAGCTCATAATTGTTCAGAGAGCGGCCCACAACTCTAGGAAGCACTGAGTCTATGGTCTTGAATATGTGCATTGGCCCTGTGTTAGCTTTTTTTTTTTTGTCAACTTGATACATCAGAGAGAAAAACCTAAGGGAGGAACTGCAGAGATGAGCTTGACCTATGGAGGATTTTGGTGGTTGCCAATCGATGAGTGAGAGCCTAGCCCACTGTGGGCAGCGCCATTCCCTGGACAGTGGTCCTGGGAAGTACAAGAAAGCTAGCTAAGCATGGGCCTGACAGCTAACCAGCCAAGTTTTTCTACGGTTTCAGTTTCAAGTTCCTGCTTGGGCTCTGCCTCCACTTCCCTGAATGAACCTGTAAACAGAAATAAATCCTTTCTTTTCCTAGGTTGCTTTTTAGTCAGAGTATTTTATCGCCGCGACAGAAAGGAACTAGAGCAGAGAGGCTCTGTTAGCTTCTCTAGGCCTCTTTCTGGTGACCTGGGCCTAGCACTGCCGCCTAGGAGGGAGCGGCTTGGCCATGCATTGGTCCTCGATGGTCACTCCCCTCCCGAAGCTCTCTACCCCTTTCTGGAGTGCCATGGTTGGACCAGATGGCACGGCTTATTCTCTGAGCATGGTCCCTACAGAAGCCCTCAGCTTAGGAGCCCCCACCTGGCCTCATGCATTTCCACCAGACCCTGATTCTGTTTATGCTGCCAGAAAGGCGCCACCTTGATGGCTTGAGGTTATTCAGTTTGTTTACATCGACCATGGCCCTGCAACCTTTTCTTAGAGGTCCCAGCCACCTCTGGTGACGCTTCTCGTGGGGACCACAGTGAAGACAAAGCAAACACCAGAGGCACAGGCCTTTCTTTGGGGTGGGTGGCTCAGGTGAGGGGGTGTGGGGGAAACCCAGAAGGGTCCCGGGAAAGACTCCAGTCTGAGAACTACTGGAGGAGGAGGAGGAGGAGGAGGAGGAGGAGGAGGAGGAGAGGAAGGAGGTGGATCGGGAAGAGCCATGGCCTCTCCGTTATCAGCTCTGGCTGTCTTCCTCGAGTTATGTAACCCCAAAAAAAACGTGGCAGCCAAGGAAGGGAAACGGAGAAGAGGCGGGCCGAGGATGGTGGTGACTAGAGAAGCGCCGCCTCTCTTTGTGCCCCATGAGTTGTCTTGGGATTAATGGAGGACCCCTCGTCGTCCCCTCAGCTCTGAGCCCCCCACCTACTGCTTTCCCGTGGTCTTTCCTGCATTGCCTTATCCGCCCCAGCAAGGCACCCGAGGCTTGGGTGGGCTTTCTTCTCAGGTTGTAGTTTCCTCTCCAAAGCTCACAGCTTTGCTACTTTGGCCGCGTCAATTAGCCACCGCTCCGAGCCTCAGTTTACCCGTCTGTAAACTGAAGTTTGCCTAAAATTCAGACCACGTGCGAAGCTCTTTGCTTAGGCGCCTGCAGTGGGGTGGGCGCGCGCAGGAGAGGAATGTGCGCTGGCTTTGCAGACTGCGAAAGGCCGGGCACCGGGAAGGCTGCGGCACTGGGTCTATGGGCAGAGGCCCCAGCCCGCCGCTGCCGAGGGGGTCCTGGGGCTCACCGGAGTCCGCCGCCACCGGGGGTCCTCGAGGCTCCCCGCAGCCCGCCCTCCCATCCGCTAGGTCGTCGGGTTCCAGCCAGTGGCTGTGGGCGGGCCGGAGGCTGCGGAGGGGCGTGGGGCGGTGGAGGGCGGGCGGGCAGGAAGGGGCGGGGGGCTCCGCAGACGGCCGCAGGAAGAAGCGAACCCACCGAGAGCCTCGCACAGCGCGCCCGCCGACCCTTCCCGCTATGTGGGGTCTCTTGCTCGCTGTGACCGCCTTTGCGCCTTCCGTCGGTCTGAGTCTGGGGGCGCCTAGCGCCTCAGTGCTGGGCCTGGCGCCGAGCTCAACCCTGGCTCCGCATCGCAGCCTTGCACAGCCGTCCACGAAGGCAAATGGTGAGCTCCGGGACCCAGTCAGCTGCTGGGCAGGTCAGACCCACTCCCCAAGCTGGGTTCTCCAGCCCGCCCTGTGTACAGGGACACACACACAGCCCTGTGCAATGGCTGCTGACTCAGCAACCCAATTCTGGTCAGACCTAGTCAGCAGTCTTAGGGCAGGCCCAGTGGGATGCTGGTCGCCTCAACTCCAGCCTAACCAGAGGAGCTCAAGAAAGGTGAAGAGACACCAGATTAAAAGGGGCAGAATAAGCCTCTTCACC